AATCGCAGTGGTTCACAAATAGAAAAGCCCATGTAAGAAGCGACAGCTGAACAAATTTTACCCCTGGGTATCCTGAGGTGGGCAACAGTCTGTGAACATGTAGTATCTCACAGAAAGTCCACAGGTGGAGAGTTAGATGTGCTTTTAATATTAACTCCTTAATAGGTTTATGCTAACTCATGATATCTGCTGCAGTGATACAGAGGGATCTACTGATACTTCATATGCAGTTTGCAGGCAAGCTTAATACGCAGTTTGGGAAGTGCATCCTGTTGGTCATCTACATAAGAACCAAAATCAGAGACCACCGAGATCTGTGTTTTAAAGAGATGCAAAGACGTGAACGAAGATAAATAATTGAAGAGGATGCCTGGCTGATAGCAAGAGGCTGAAAGCTGCTAATAGAGTTCAGTGAACAGTCATGTGTTTTGAATAGCTTGATTACACCCAGTAAAGCACCATGCCTTCATAGCTTACAGCTGTGACACCAGTATCCAGAAGCTGGCAGCCAGGAGAATTGGTAGTGTGTCTGTTAACTGGGTGGCTTTGTATGTGGAACATAGCCTCTGAAGAGGGAATATGTTGTGTGGGCAGTACTATCGCAATTAAAGTCCTTCCTCTGCAAGGCCAAAACTGCTGGGAGCTTGCTAGATTCATGAATTTATGAATGAAGGCTCCAGTTACCTTCAAAGATGAGATTTCGGTTTTGGTTTCTTTTAAGGCATCTGGTTGTGCAAGCAGAGTTTGAACCTGTAGGTAGTCGTTGCCGCAGGCAGCTGCGTGGTGGTCAGTGCTTGTCTGGGTTTGTGATCCCTGGGTGCACGCTGGGTCCGGAGGATTGTGCCGAGCAGCGCACGGGGCACTGTCTGAACTGTGGCCTGCAGCGTTGCAGGGTGGAGGTTCAGCACGAAGAGCATGTAGAGGGAGGTAGGAGGCATCCCCAAGCCACCTGAGTTTGGCACTGGGGTGAAGAGAGATCAGTGATGTTCTGTGGTTCTGTCAAAAATCGGTAGTCCCCACTGTGCAGTGAATTTTGTACTGTATTCAGCAGTGTAATTACAACTGGCAGTGGTGTAATTTTTTTCTAGATATTGATTTCCTGTGCAAATGAAGACTACTTAAAATAAACCCCAAAACCCCCCAAAAACCCCAAAACCCAAATGCATCCTCCTTCCAGTTCTTCACTGCGTTCACCTGCGGTGCCAGAAGGGCTTTGGCTGCATCGATCTTGCTGCAGGACTGGGGGTCTCAGTGCAGCACTGCACGGTGGAGCGTTGCTATTGGTAATGTCAGTAGTTGGTAATGCCCAAATTTGTGTATTTTACATTGCTTAGGGTGTTGTTTTGCTCTGTTTATCCTGCATTAGGATTCCACGTGGTTTCTGTAGTGAGGAATTTGTTGCGCATGTGTTCATCTTACTGAAATGCTTTTTGATTTTTAACTGCCCATATCCTGATTCTCCCCTACAGGATTGACCTCTGTAGGCTCTCAGCTATAGAACTAGCAACACATTTAACCTGTGGATCATGAAATAATCATTTCATTTGAAAGAATAGCATAGCTTACAGGGAGTAAAATACAGGAAAATGCTTCTGCTAGGTTTTCTGTTCAATGTTGAGCACTATACATTTAATCTCAGTGTGTGTCACATGCCACATTCAGCTACTGTGCTAGAGAAAACGTGTTTTCAAGGAGATGCTTCCCATGCATAATGTGTGGCCTTTTGTGGCGAAACGACGACTGGTGCATGCAGTCAGATGATTTCACCTTCTTTCTCCAAAGCCGTTTAAAAGAGCTGGAGCGGGAGGGGACGGTCACTGTGGAAGTGTGGAGACAATCTGTTGGAGGAGGATTTAGGTTTGGGGGTTCGTACTGGCTCAGGAGGAGCATTGCCTGGCAGCCTGGATTACAGGAACGTGGCACGATGCAGACCAAAGCTCGAGTGTAATGTGAAAACCTGGGATAAAACGGTTGAGAACAGTGAGGAAAGAGCTGTAGAGAATGGTGTAACAACAAGAGTGGACAAGGGAAAACCAATGGACGTCATCTATCTGGATTTTTGTAAAGCTTTTGGCACGGTCCCCCACAACATCCTTCTCTCTAAATTGGAGAGCCATGGATTTGATGGGTGGGCCATTCGGTGGATAAGGAATTGGTTGGATGGTCGCAGCCAAAGGGTAGTGGTCAACGGCTCAATGTCCAGATGGAGACCAGTGACGAGTGGAGTCCCTCAGGGGTCCGTACTGGGACCGGTGCTGTTCAATATATTCATCAATGACATGGACAGCAACATCGAGTGTACCCTCAGCAAGTTTGCAGATGACACCAAGCTGAGTGGTACGGCTGAGACACCAGAAGGACGGGATGCCATCCAGAGGGACCTGGACAAGCTGGATATCCGGGTGTATTTTTGTTAGAACTCAACATCATGAGCTGTCAGAGTCTCCACTGACCCCCAGCACACACATTTTCGGTGATCCGTGTCCTGGGCTGCATCAGGAGAAGCGTGGCCAGCAGGTCGAGAGAGGTGATTCTGCCCCTCTACTCTGCTCTGGTGAGACCTCACCTGGAGTACTGCGTTCAGCTCTGGAGCCCTCAGCACAAGAAGGACATGGAACTGTTGGAGCGGGTCCAAAGGAGGGCTACAAAAATGATCCGAGGGCTGGAGCACCTCTCCTATGAGGACAGGCTGAGAGAGTTGGGCTTGTTCAGCCTGGAGAAGAGAAGGCTGCGGGGAGACCTGATTGCAGCCTTTCAGTACTTAAAGGGAGCCTATAGGAAAGATGGGGACAATCTTTTTAGTAGAGACAGCAGTGACAGGACGAGGGGTAATGGTTTTAAACTAAAACAGGGTAGGTTTAGGCTGGATATAAGGAAGAAATTCTTTACAATGAGGGTGGTGAAACACTGGAACGGGTTGCCCAGAGAGGTAGTGGAGGCCCCATCCCTGGAAACATTCAAGACCAGGTTGGACAGGGCTCTGAGCAACCTGATCTAGTTAGTGGTGTCCCTGCTCGCTGCGGGGGGGTTGGACTAGATGACCTCTAGGGGTCCTTTCCGACCCAAAACTTTCTACGATTCTATAATGCTGCCAGTGAGGTAGTGATGTTGCTGCCTCTTGCAACTTGTTCTGCAGAAACATTTTGAGAGTTAAGGCTGTATAAGTGAAAACTTTTAGCTCAAACTAAGTCAACAAGAGACTCCGGGACTAGCTAATAATAAAATTGATGCTCATAGGAGAGAGAGAAAAGGTGTGAGCTTTTCATCTGCATGGTTAGAGCGAACTGTAGGATGAGATCGGACTGATTTAGGTAAACATATTATATTAAAACAGGGCTAAATGTTGGACCTAGTCTGCCTAGAAACATGTTGTTCAGTAGATCTGCTCCGTGTTGTTGTAAGAACGCAGCTGCGCATTGGTGCTAAGCTGCCTCTGCAACGGGCAGCCTGGCACTGCAGGTGCGGCGAGAGCCTCGCTGCTTCCCTGCTCAGCACCTGCGGCTTGAACGAGGTCACCCCTAACAGATCGAGTGTGCCTCAGTGTCTCTTCATCCCTGTGAACTCACAGACGTTCCAATGTTAAGGCTTTTCTGTTAAATCTTTCTTTATAGTGTGTCTAGATACATGTAGTTGTCATCCAGTATTTGCCTGCTGTTGTTTAGGTACACTTATCTAGTCCCTAATTTTTTTTTTTTTATTAAGTATTACAAAAACCTAAGTTTGGAAGAACTTTGTTTCTCTCTGAATTTCTCTCCCAGCTTGTTTGCAGAGGAGGAGACTAGCAAAGCATTTCTTTCATTCTGTTTGTTTCCCAGGTTTTTATCAGCCCCTTGGCAAGAATACCGGAGTACCTCCAGAGCCTTTATCTCATCCACCTTCTTGGCACCTCCCTGGGATGGGGGAGCGTTAACAGGCCCATCTTGCAATTCCCTGGGAAAATAATTTTAGATCATTTTAGGTAGTGGTAAGCTGGAAGCTGAAATATGGCATCCTAAAGCTCAGGCTGGTATGTAAATCACTGCCTTTTCGCTTACCCGAGACTTCCTCAAACCCTCATTTACTATCTTCACGAAGGATTTTAGCTTTTCTGAGGCTAGGAACTGAATAAAGAAATAAATAGTAGTGAGTCTAATTAGAAACACTGTTTTATTTTTTTTTTTTCTCAGTTCTTGATTTGCAAGTGTAGTAAGGAAATATATCAAATACAGAGCTGAAAAAACTGAACTCATTGTAGTCAGTCAACATGTCCCAGGTCAGTATGCTAAAAGTCCTGCTTAACTGAAGCAAGTGACTAAAGACCTTTTCTTTTTTACCAGTCAATCATTTCTTCCAGAAAGAGAGAATCCCACCTGCCTTGCTGAAGCAAACCTGCTGAAATCGGTGGAATTGGGGCTAGCAGCAGAACAAGGACAGCAAGAGCGAAACAGTAACCCCCAGGACTGTGAAAACCTGTAAAGTAAGGCCCTGGAATCCATATTTACCTTCTCAGTGCAGCCCTGTGTTATATTATATGAAACAGTAAAACTCCTAGGAGATGCGTGGCACCACGAACAGGGGATGTGTTAAGTGAGGGCTTGCAGTTTGAAGTAATCTTGTAGCAAATTCAACTTTTGGCTGCGTTCAGAAAGAATTATTAGACACTCTTGAGGAAAGGTGAGGCTAATATGCTTATTTCTCATCGGTTTATCACTGATACGTGTCAGCATCAGGATTGATCTGTTTCTTTTGCCTAAACCACAGAGAGCTGTCGGTGGGAGTAGAGGTGGCGTTTGGCCTTGGGAATTGATTTGAAACAACTCAGGTTTCGGAAGGAGCTGTGCTTTAGCATGCAGTTCACAGAAAAAGTCCCTGCTTGCTTTCCGTGTGTCTCTGCTCCATCTTGTCTTTTCCGATTCGTTGGGGTAGGGTGCGTGAGAAGTAGCATTATAGGTGACGTAGGTGATGGGCTTATGCGGTGACAGCTCCCAGGAGATGACCCGGAAGCCGGACGGTGCAGGTGCTTACACATGTCGGCTTGGCGTGCTCGGTTTCACATTGGGCTTCCCATTTGCAGGTCTAGAGAGAGAAAAGGGTTTGATTTGCTTTGGTGTGGAAGGAACAAGAAGGCAATTAATGTATGGCTGCTGGTCAGCTCGTTTGGCCTTGGTCTGCAGCCAAGGACCTCCAAGAGCAGGCTGGAAAGTGTTCCTAAATCCTCTTTGTGCTGGCGAAGGACCTGCCAACATTTCAGCTAGTGACAGCCAGTAGAAGGACTTCCTTAAGATACACTGCTAATCAATTGTTGCACAAATTAAAAAAAACAAAAGGGGGGGGGCCCTATTGAGAATTTACCGCTGACTTTTGCACACTCCTGTCCTCTCATCAAGCCTTTCTCCGTGTTCAGAAATGAATGAAGAAAGAAGAGCTGGGGGCTTTTCTGGAGTTGGGGAAGCTGTTATCAATTCATAAGGCCTTGTTCTTGTTGCCAGACAGTTTCCTGCAGAGGAGTTTAAAAGGAAGCTTTCTAGACTACCAGCGTGTTCCCAGAATGATCGAAATTACTGGTCTCCAGCAACTGATAGTTTTACGCTGATTTAATGAGTTGGAGATTTGGCATCCTTTTTCACTGAAGATTAATTTGTGGCAGAAAATGAATCCTTCAGCTGCCAGCAAGAATCCCAGGCCAGATCCCGAGGCACTCTTTAATTGAGTGAATTGCACTATTAACTTCCAAAGAGCTTCATTTCAATAAGCGGGGACTGCTCAGAGCAGCAGGAACTTCCTCTCCAAATAAAAGCTTAAATACGCTACAGTTGCTTAAGCCAGAACTCTGCCATGTTAGTGCCGCGGAAGGAAAGCTGTCCTTGGTGAGGTGATTTCCTGAGGCTTTTGTAACCCAACCACTCCATCGGTGCAAAACTAAAGAGCTCTGCAGCGTGTTTTTCCCCTTAGGGACAGCACATCTTTGCAGGAGGCTGGCGACAGGGGTTGAGATAAGTGAAGAATGCAAGCCTCGTCCTGAACAAGGCTGCAAGAAGCGCTCTTTGTTATCGTTTCGCCCTTGGAAAGCCAGGCGAGGATCAGAAGAGCACTGGGTATAATAAATACGCGTCGTAAAAATGACAGGCTGCTCCCTTTTTCAGACAGGTAAAAGAAATGCAAGTCTGGGGGGGCAGCTGTATGCTGATACGTACTTAGGAAGATTGCACCCACAGGGCAGAAGGCACTGCTGCTCGCTGCCTCTTCCCTGAAATCGTAGAACCATAGAATAGAATCACAGAATGTTGTTACTCTTCAGGCACTGATTTCTGATGTGTTCTGCCTTTAAAAAAACCACAACAGATTGTAGAAATGCCTTTTCTGTTAACGTAGGGGGAAAGAGGTTCTTTCTGAGTGATTGTACTAATTTGGACAACTAAGAAACTATTAACTTTTTTACTACAAAACCCAAGGATGTGTAACAAGGCATATGACTTCATCTGATCTTGAAGATGCTTGATTTGCAGAGAAGGCGGCTCCAGAGGTGTGAACATACTGCTCCAAATTGTCTCACAACCCAGCTTTTCCAGGTTCCATCCCAGCGCTGGCCTGGCCACAGCAGCAGCTCCAGCGCTTGGGTGCTGGAGCGCTCGCGAGCCCTGGGGTGCTCTCTTGGCACAAGGCTTGCAGAACTGCAGAAGCCGTTTTCTGCAGAGCGGGAGGCGAAGAAACCGGCTGCGGGGAGGTCGGTTTGCAGAAGCAAAGCACGTGTTACTTGCGGGCAAAAGGATTTCTTGTTCCAAACTGGCAAATTGCAATTCTTACTCCGATAGTGTTTTCCTGGTGACTCAGGGTGATGGGTGGGTTGGGGAGGCAGGAGGGAAAGCGTAAAAAAGGATTCCTGTCTGCCCTAGAAAATAGGTTAACTCTAAAGCTATACATATCTGCATTGCTGTTTCCCAGGAAAGCCACCTAGAGCTGCATCAGCCTCTGCTGCTGTTACTTAGTGCCTGTTGGGGCCATGGAGGCATAAAGCCAAGGTGATGCTGGTCCAAAATTGTGCAGTGGGGGATTCAGGGTGCAGTAACGTGCATCTAATCCATGGGCACATCCTGAAGGACCGGTGAGGAAATCAAATGAACAGTTTGGGGAGGGATGAAGTTGAAGTAGTGCATTGGGAGCGCACAAACGTGATGTTCGTTATGCGCATGGGGTGATGCACAACGCTTTTAGGCTGCCGCAAACACCTCCTGTCTTTCTGTTCAGCACCTACTGCAGCGTCAATGCTCAGTGTTTTGAATTACTTAAAAACAACCAACAAACACAGAAGAGAACCTTATTTCTCTTTCTTGCCCTTAATTCATTACACAGCCCCCTCCCATCCACCGTATATCGGATGAAGAATTTTTAGGTCGCTTGTTGGCACCTGCCTGCTTTATCGCTTGAGGGTGAGATGCTGCCACGTTTAAGAGAGAAATGCTGCCACCGGTCACTTACTAACCTTTTACATCTGCATCTTCGTCTTCTGGTTTCTAAAATAAAAAAGAAAGCATTTTAGTTCAGAGATACCGAGTCAGAACTCGGTAAAGAAACGCTGCAGCAGGGCAGTGCTGGCGTTCCCTAGCAGCTCGCTGTCTGTGAGGCTGGCAGCGGATGAGCCAAGCTTATTTTTGAGGAGAGCCGTGCAAGTGAGCTGTGCAGTCCACTTCAGTGTTTTCACGTGAGTAACAGTAGCCGGGTCAGCCTGGGAACGCTGACAGTGGATTGGTTTCTTTGCAGTCTCCAGTGACTTCGGCATGTTGCTGAAAATCCATTCGCAGCAATTAATTTCTACAGCAGGCGAGCAGCAACGATGCCACGCAGTGGGCAACCACGTTGAACGATGCCCTTCCCCGTTTCAGTGTCTGTGTTGTTACTTTGGGAGGTATTTGGCAAAATATGGTGTCCAGCCATTAATTTTAACACAAGGTAAAAACCTGTCCTTGAGGGCCCGGGCTGCCGGCTGCAGAAATTAATTGCAGCTGATGGCTTTTCACTGATAACTCCCATCAGCAGCAAAAGGCAGAAATAAATCACGGGAGACTGGCGTTTGTAGGTTAACGATATTGCAGGTAACTGGGGAATCCTGGTGCATGTGGAGGGCTCCTGGTGACTTCAGAGGGAGTTTGGACCAATTCCAGGTGCTCTGCTGCACCATCAGCTATTTCCCTCGAGAAGAATGATTTTTGCCTGTGGCTCGTCAGTGTTTTTTTCATGTGTTCCTTCCTACTGCTGCAGACCATGGTGATCAGTATTTTTCAGGCTGAAGGATGCTGAAAATTGTATTTTTTCTTTTTTTAAACCAGGTCAGCTGGTAAACTCATCTCGCATCAGCTCCAGGCTGTGGGGTCAGTGAGGATTTACTTGGGTTAATTCAGCAGCAAAACACTTTGGTGTTCTGGGCAAACGAGCTGAGCTGGTTTAATGACATTGGTGGAACTTCTGGGGTATCGGGGCACTCCCCGAAGGAAAGTTCAACTGGTTTCAGCGAGCGCTAAATTGATTTAAATACATTCACACTCACTGCTTGCTCAGGGTAACTTAAAGACATTTGAAACGTGAAATTTCACCAAAGGGCTTTTGTCTCCCCATTTTTTTCAGGCTGCTGCTGGGAGTCTCAGCATTTGGATTTGTAAGCCCGGTACTGGAGCAGTTTACCCTATTTTGTTAAAGTATTTCAGGTTCTGGTATTTTACCCTCCGATACAGCTGATGGTGCAGCCAATACAGTTTGATAATTTTGCTCTATTTATAATCTACTTTTCTTCCTTAAAGGTCTTTTCTAAATAATTCTATGATTCTAATTTGATAGTTATTTTTCAGCCTAAGCCTACTGCTGAGGGAAACACAGACGCTGGTTTTAACAGCGGTCCTTCTCTTGCGTGGAGCGTGTCCTGGGTGCCTGCTGCCTACGTAAAGGGCCAAGCTAGAAGATCCCTGCCCGAGGGCTGCGCTTTCAGGTTAGAGGGATATCTACGGGGGTTATGGGCAAGTCTTACGTTGGCACAGCACGATGGTCACTGCCAGGCCGATGAGGAGCAGGAGGCAGGCGCCTGACAAAGGAACCCAGATGAAGATGTCGCAGAAGAAATTCAGCTCTTTCTCCTTGCTGGTCTCTGCAGGAGTAAAGAAGAGGAAAGGTCATGGCTGGTGCTACGGCCGGCTCTGCTGGAGCCAGGGGACCTGCCTGCTGTTCAGCGAGGCTGGTGGCGGAGCAGAGGGCTGCCCTGGCCCACCAGCGACGTCCCCAAGCGCGTGCAGCGTGGGCATTTGTTAGTGCTGCTGCTCTCTGCATTTTCCTGGAGGCTTGAGGGGGGACACGTAGCCTAAACCAGGCTAAAACCAGCCCCAGCCCCACAGGTTCTGCCTTCCCTCCACCTCTTCCCCGTATGCCCAGGCGTGAGACATGCTCCTGCTTTTTGCATCATCCTCAGCCTTTCCTACGCGGGTGAAACACTGGAGTTTAGTCCTTCCAGCCGCATGTACCCAGTTACCCAACTCTGATAAAGCTCTAAGGATTTTCAGTCTGCCCCCACCCCAGAATGCCTGCAGGATCCCCCTTGGTGTCAGTGGACCCGAGCCCAGCTCTTCCCCTCTCCCTCCCTGCAGCTGGGCTACCTGGGTCCGGGGTCTTCAGGCAGGGGTCCTTTGTGGTGACGCCATGCTGGGTGGCGGGTGCCGGGGTGGTGGGTGCCGCTGTGGTGGAGACTGTAAGGGAAAATGGATGAATACAGCGTACGGGGAACTATAATAAAAGAGCTCTCTCCCACCGCTGCCGGGGCACGGCTGCTGCTGTAGCTAGCAGAAGGCTCAGCTCCAGAGGAACTTCATAAAGCCCACCTTGGAAGAGACTTCTCCTAAGCAGGGTTTGCCATGACCCAGTAAGCAGCTGCAGGCTCCTTATTTCTTGCTTTCTGCTACCACCCTCAGAAAGCCTGAGGACCCAGAGGTTGGTAGGACTTTTGGGACCTATGTGAGGAAGGAGGGAGTGGTGGTGGACTTTGCTTTAGTCTCAACCCTTTAGAGCCACGAATGGGATGGAGAAGTGGGGATGGGGGGATGCTGGGTCTGCCCGACGGTCATTGCCTTTGGGCAGGAGCTGTACCACGAGAAGAGACAGCAAGCAGGGGGCCTCCGGCGGGAGGACTGATGTGTTGGTCGCGAGATACCTTGGGCAAGCAAGCAAGCAGGCAAAATGGGATTGTGGAAGAGGTGACGGATTAAAAAAGGCACGGGCAGGAGGTGCTGGGCGTTTTGGCAGAGCTAAGGGAGGTTGGGCGGAGGTGTTGCTGACCTGGGAGGAAGGCAGGCAGGCCAGGGCTGAAGTACAGCACTTGGTTGCTGTTCATGAGGCAGAAATAGTTCCCATCGTCCCGCGGCTTGAAAGACTTCACTACCAACCGGTAGAACTTGCTGTCTTTCATTGCCTCGAAGCGTGTGGACGTCTTCTGGCTCCACTCGAAGGTGGTCCGGGACAAGGAGGAGATAAAGACGATGAAGTGAAGGGTCCCATCCTTGTCCTGGCGGACCCAGAATGCGCCGCTGTCATCCTTAGTGGTCAGACATTCCAGCTCCAGCCGCTGTCCCACCTGGGGGTGTGTGACGCTGCTGTCACGAAACCTGACCGTCATACTGTAGCTCTGGCCGTGGACCCCAGGACAGCCTGCGGGAGAGAAATCCTCGTGGGAACTGCTTGGGAAGAGCCATGTCCCCCTGGGCAAGCCTCGCTCCCTGTCCACGGGGTGCGAGGTCAGATGCAAAGGGAGGGCCAGATGGCTTGAAAGTTTTTATTGGAGTCCTTGCTGGGATCATGCGTGGAGAGTGCTCAGCCACCCGGGCTTTAGAGATGGGTGCTGCCCTTCAGCCGCCCGCTCAGGGATGTTACCCCTTCCCAGCTTATCTGAAGTAACTCCCTAAAAACACTGACTGCTCAACACCCTTTTTCCCCCTTCCCTCTCCCCTGCAGAACCATTTCTCCATCCAGGCTCCCTTCCCGGTGCGCGTGATGCTGCAGCCACCCCTCGGCTGCCCTACGCCCGCCGAGGCAATGCCGCCTTTTTTCCGCAGCTACTGAGCAAACCTCAAAGTCAGCCTTTTTGGTTTGCTCTTTATTTCCCTTTATCTATTTAGCCCGATTTCTCGGATTCAGCAGAAGGGGTTTGCTCACCCCTCGCGGTGAAGGTGCCGCGCAGCCCTGTGTCCGTACTCACAGAGCCCCAGAGCGAGCAGGAGGAGCAGTGCAGGAGACCCGGCCATCTTCTGCTAGGGGTGGCCGACCTCGGGGACGGCGCGGCGGAGCGGAGGTGATCTTTCTCGCTTGACTTGGGAGGCTGCGTCGCTCTTCGGAGAGGATGTGATGTCATCAGGACCCTCTTGGGTAAAGATGCGGTGTTCGGCATCTGCGGCAAAATGAAGGGGGGGCAAAAAATTCTGAAGAAATTCAGTTCTAATCCAGAATTTGGGTTCATCTATCGTTATTTGTTCTTAATGGTGCCTCAAGGATTTTGCCTCGATGGCTTCCCGAGAGGTTCAGACTGACGATGCTCGTGCCCGAGGTGGGGTCAGCCACCGCAGCCTGCTGTCTCCTGCCCGGCCAGGAGCCCACAGCAGCTCCAGCTCCGCAGACGTCACAGTCAAGCCCCGTGCTTTGGCCACAGGCCCCAGGTCGCGTTTCTTGGTGGGGGTTCTGCCGCCTTCGCTCGTGCGCACTCAAGGGGTCTCGTGCGGATGGCAGAACACCCCGTGTTTTGTTACCCAGCACGCAAGGCAGGGGTGTTTCACGGCATGGATCCACGCGTATTTCTGATCTCCGAGCACATGCATGGCTGACAGACAGCTGAGCTCTTCAGGTGTTCGTTCCTTCTCCTTGCAATTGCTCTGCAAAAGCAGCTTTGTGCAAGGCAGGTGGTCTGTGATCTGAAACTCGCCGAGAGAGCCCCATGCTTGTGGTTTTCTTCTCTAACCGCAGCGGCTGCTGCCCTGACGAAAAAACCCTTGCAAGCTTCAACGGAGAGGGCCCTTGCTGCTGCCTCCAGGTGACCGCTTGCACATGGGTATGGGTGATGCTTCCTGGAGCTTTGCACATGCCATAGCAACAGTTTCACCAGACTGCTATTTATTTCTTTGGTTGGCCCTTCCTGGCTTTCCTGTTCATTGTTTTTCTACTTCTCCTTTGCAAAGAAAGCCCCCTTTTCCTGGGCATGTCAGAAACCAGGTGCTGCTGGCTTTGATGCCATTGCTATTGTCGCTGCTGCTTAGAGATGAGTTACGGAAACTGGTTTAGGAGCTGGGTTTATTTCACTGGGCATCAAAGCATGTTGGTGAGTGAGTAAAGCTGCTGTGAGGCCTGCTGAGATGTGTGAAATTCACACCTTCAGGAGGCTGTGATACTTGTCATGTCTACCTGAAATAGAGCAGATTTTGGCAAAATAAAGAGAAAATAGGTTTTGTCAATTAAACAATGTTACAAGAATCTGGATCTCAAAACGCCATCAAGCAGATGTGAACATCAGGCTTGATGTTCTTGCAGGGCTCTCCAGTTGTCTCCAGATGAAACATTGAAGTGATGCTACCTGTGTGGGCTCCCGCTGGTTTCAGTGGGCAGTTTATTCTCCTGATCCTAAGTAGAGTTCATCCTCCCTTTATGATGGGATAAGCTGCTCTTTGGAAGCGCCTGTCTTCATGGGCGGAGGGAGGAACATAGGCAAGGAATTGAAACTGTGGGCCTGCCTTGTAGATGACTGGAACCGAGTCTCATGTTTTCTGAGATGCTGAAGGAGTTGGTTCCTGCCATCCACTGGAATTGCTGTGTGAGTGGCCCCCACTTCCATCACTGTCACAGCTCGGCATCAGAAAATGAAATTTCAAAGGCATTTTAACAAGCACAACCCCCTCGAGGCCGAAGTAGGAAAATGTCTGATTCCCATTTTTTGGTATGGTTTGAACAGAAGTGGCCATGCTGGTCACAGGTCACAGGTTTGTCAGGACTAGCTTCTCACTCTGTCGCAGGGTGTGGATGCTTAACTATAGCACATAGTGCGTGTCCTCAGGGATGTTGTGATGGACGTGCTGGGAGAACCTGCACGATTAAAGGGTCATTCCAGAAGGGCTACTGGGACATCTGACTTCTCTCTTATCTCTGATTAACGGTAAATTTTATTATGAATCAGTCCCGGGTGCCAGACTGGAGCCCATAAGTTCCTCTCCTGGATGTAGAGGTGTCCTTAATTTTGGTCCTCATAGCTCACAGCTTGAGCTGGTTTCTACGTGAGCCCACTATTTCCTGTGTCATTTTCAGACCCTGCAACACCCTTCAGAGGGCTCCTTTTCCTCTCCAGACTCTTTATTTGCTGAAGCGCTTTCTGACTCACCACTGCACCAAAGACACCACCAGCCCTTGCCTCTTCTGACGCCTGCCCATCGCGCTGGGCCAGGGCGATGTCGGGGAGCCACCGGAGATGGCTTCAGGGGGAGCAGCTCCTTTCTGCTGCCTGCAACAAACCGCTAATGAAGATCTTTTAGGGCAAGGTAAAAGCTTACCGTCAGCAGAGAGGTATAGCTGCAAGCGGGCTGTCACGCATCTCTTTTCAGCATGGCCACCCTTCGTTGGCCAGAGAGGGCACCAGGGAAGCGTAGCTCCGGTGGAGATGTAACTGTGTGCGATCAGATGAAACCACCCCTTTCCTGTCCCCCCATCTCGTGTCTCCTAGGAAATAAATTCGCTGCGGCGGGGATCACCTGCTTCTGGGTTCGGTGTTTAGGAATTGCTTAGCACGAGGCAGTTTCTATTTTGCACAGTTACAAGTAAGAACAAGTAAAACAGTTGCAATGTCAGTTATTTGATTATGAAAAGTTCCAGGCATAAGCAGGACCTCCAAGAAAAGCTCTAATTTAAAATCAACACTGGTATAAATAATTGAGATATGTATATTTTACACTGGTGTCCTATTTCAAAATGGGGGGGTAAGGTGGTTAATGAGATTAAGAAATCCTTTTGACTTTAGCATGCTGTAGTTTGCCAGTTTGTCCTCTGGATGATACTTTGCAGTAGACTTGTCATAGACTGAGGACATAAGTCAAATCAGTGAAACGCTAGCATTAGTAACATATTTTATTATTAATTTCTGTTGTAGTGCCACAGTTACGATATGACTGAGGAAGAAGAAAAAATTCAGACAACCAGTTACTTCTGCAGACCATCGTATAAGAGATGTCAGGAGACCAGACAGGCTGGTTAGACAGTAGAAGGTAATATCTTTTTTCTCCCAAACCTACCAGGAAGTTTCATTTTATTTGTTGCTAAGGTTGCAGGGCTCTGATTGCTGGTGAACTCCACCCTAAGTTGCTAATGACTGAGGTTTATCTTTATGTACTAAGACAAGCCTAGGTCTGTATTTAATTAATGTCAAACAATTAAATAGCGGGAGAGAGGAGCACAGAGATAAAACCACGCAGGGAAGAGACAGACTGACAAGGATCTGTATTTTTGGTGTGGGGCTCGGCAGGAGGTGAGTCTGGGGTTAATTTTCTCTGTGCTTGCTTACATCCACTTAACAGAGAAGACATGGGAAACGAGAGGGAGCCTGGGGCATCAGAGCTGGAGGAGGTGCTGAGTTTCAGATATGATTGATTTCTTAGTCATTTTCTGGAAGGATCAGTGACTTTTTCATAGTGGTAGGAAACTTTAGCTTCTTAATATCAGTAATATCAGCCATCGCATGGATGCCTCTCGGTATTGTGTGACCAGGAGCAGGACCATGTCTCAGGACATGGGAGTTATGCTGGTACAAAAGGAGCACCAAAATGACCGTGCTCTGCCGGGTCGGTTGTTCCTGTTGCCCACGATGTCTCCTCGTAGTGCTCCAGAAGGACTTCCCATTGCTAAGCAATGACGCAGCGTTGCTGATGATGAGCAGATGCTGCTTGATACCCGCAAGTGATTGGTGATGGCAACTCGGGGTGGAACACTGGACGGTGTTCGCTTCAGCATCGGCGATTCTTCCTGTTGTTAACCTTTGATGGATCTTTTTTTGTAAGGAGGAATGGAAAGTTGTAATGAAGATTTAAAAAAACCTAGTCACAAATCACAAACTTTTGTTTCAAATGGAGGAAAAAAAATGTTGAGACTGTAGCACACAACTTTTCCGGTGTGAACCGAAGCTGTGGTTTATGAACAAATTGCTGCCCCTCATTTCTTGGCAAAGCTGCAGCAATGAAGGGGTTTGTAGAATGTCAAGCGCAACTGTCACGCACCAGCTGCTCGCACACTAACTTTCCACTGTAGCTGCATGTTTCCAGTTCAGTGGCCAAGGCTGCCCTCCCTTCTGAGCACTCTCAGTGTAAGCATCACGTACCCTAAAATACAATATGCCAACCACAAACACTCCTGCGCTCTCATCTCTCCCTGGTGTAGCCCTTTAACCTGATCGCTGGGTTGAACATCTCCGTCATCTCCGTGCTTGTTGGTACCTCAGCTGAGAGCTTGAGAAAAGAAAACCTGAGTGTGTTATGAGTTTTCCTTGTACAGGCTTCCCGCGCCTTCTGTCTTGGTGTCGCAGATATCTGGGAAATCAACAATCCATGACGGCGTCCTTTGGGCACTGGTGACAATTTACTCCACCAGTGCCGCAGCTGGAGTGAACAGTGGGACCTAATAAATGCTTATAAATATCTGCAGGGTGGGTGTCAGGAGGATGGGGCCAGACTCAGTGGTGCCCAGCGACAGGACAAGGGGCAACGGGCACAAACTGAAGCAGAGGAAGTTCCAGCTGGACATGAGGAAGAACTTCCCTCTGAGGGTGACGGAGCACTGGAACAGGCTTCCCAGGGAGGCTGTGGAGTCTCCTTTTCTGGAGATATTCAAGACCCACCTGGACAAGGTCCTGTGCAGCCTGCTGTAGGTGACCCTGCTTTGGCAGGGGGGTTGGACTGGGTGACCCACAGAGGTCCCTTCCAACCCCGGACATTCTGTGATTCTGTGATTCAGTGGGCAGGTTGGTTCTTTGCAGCTCCAGACTCCGAAATACCACAGAGATTCAGTCCAGAACTATAGAAAGACTTCCTGTTTTCTAACACTGAATATAAAATTTCTTTAAGAGAAGGAAAATTATCTGTATAGCTCCCATGTGTCATTTTATGTCTGAACAGCAGTTCCAGGAGTCTTTAATTGGTGAACTGGGCTCATTATCTCACTTCCAGTTCCCACAATCATATTTCTGTTGGGTTTGAAGCTCTGTTTGGTAGTTGTCCTCCTGGTTTAGCCCGCTTCCAGGGTCTCATAGCCTTGATGTTATCCCCACAGCCCTGGGAGCTGACTTCTGTCTCCATCAGTCCAGAGTTTTGTCATGGCTGCTCTCCTCCCTTGCTGCACAGTGACCTTCACAGAATCACAGAATGGTAG